ACCCCCCCCACACACTCTCCCGGTGTCCCAGCGGGGCTCCGAGCCATCCCCTCCCCAAAAAGCCAGAGGGCGTGCGGCCGGAGCCCAGCCTCACCCCCCCCCAGCTATTTATCCCTGGCCGGCGTGGTACGAAAAGGGAGATTTATTCATAGCGAGCTGCTAATAAAACACCCTCCCAAAGCCCTTTGGCAGGGAATGACGGCAGCTACAAATTATTTTGCGAGGGGCTGTGCCTTGGCACAAGCCTTCTGCACGCTGGCCTCGGAGGTTTTTTTGCCTCGGGGCGGCTTAGAGGATGTTTTTGGTCCCCCGAGAGATGTCCCGAGGAAGAGGAGGAGGAGGAGGAGAGCCCCACAGGGGTGAAGGTCCCCCCCAGGGTGCTGGCATGTCCCCTCTTGGCATCTGGAGATGCTCAGCAGGGATAAGGTGCTGGGAGGGGATGCTGGCCCCAAGGAAAGGGAAGGAGCTTCACCCGGCTAAGGGGGGTGCAGGCAGGGAGGGGGGGGGGGGGCGCGTGCCGGCTTTTGCGAGGGGCTGTGCCTTGGCACAAGCCTTCTGCACGCTGGCCTCGGAGGTTTTTTTGCCTCGGGGCGGCTTAGAGGATGTTTTTGGTCCCCCGAGAGATGTCCCGAGGAAGAGGAGGAGGAGGAGGAGAGCCCCACAGGGGTGAAGGTCCCCCCCAGGGTGCTGGCATGTCCCCTCCTGGCATCTGGAGATGCTCAGCAGGGATAAGGTGCTGGGAGGGGATGCTGGCCCCAAGGAAAGGGAAGGAGCTTCACCCGGCTAAGGGGGGTGCAGGCAGGGAGGGGTGGCGGGGCTGCTGCCTGCTTGGTGTCATTACAGGCGTGAAATAAGGTGTGGGGGGGAAATGAAAGACTGGAAAGAACGGGTGACCTCAAACCACAAGCTGGCAGCTATTAATGCAAGCACTGGCAGCCACCCAGCCATGCCATTTGGCCACCGGCCAGGGGGTGAGCGAGCTCCCGTGGCCCCAGCCAGGCAAAAAACCCAGCCGCAAGCTCTGGCATGCCAGTACCGCCAGCCCCTCAGCTTGCAGCCACCCCAGGTCCAGGCCGGTGTCAGGGGGAGAGCCCAGCCCTGGCCCCCCTGAAAGCAGGAGGGATGTGCTAAACCACTGGAGAAACGTTGCAAAGCTCTGGTGGGGACAGCAGGGACTTGAGCAAGACTGGGGAAATGGATGGTTGGCATCTGGATCTGGCACAGGGCCACCCAGGAGGAGCTGGCTTCATCTCGGTGGGGTGGGCAAAGGCAGGGAGCAGGCAGCAAAAATCCTCATGCCCACCAAAAGAAAATGGTCCCCCTTCATCGTCCTTCATATCTGGATAAGAAGGGGGTGTGTGTGAAAGCATTTCAAAGAGATTTTAAAAGAGCTGGAGCCCCAAGGCAGACGTCACCAGAGGCAATGGCTTCCGTTCTCTAGGAATGGGGAAGGGCTGGCAGAAGGTATCTCCAAAAAGGGACCTCTTGCTGGCCGTGAGCCCTCTGCTCTCACTGTCACCCTGAGTATCACACCTTTCCCAGCGGAGGCCCAGGGACCTGCGTGGCCAGGCAGATGTCACCCCCAGATGTGACCAGGCAGAACTGGCCGTGCCACGGTGACCAGGCAGGGGTGGCCTTGCCGATGAGACCAGGCAGAAGAGACCAGGAAAAGGTGGTCCTGCTGAGGTGACCATGCTGAAGAGACCAGGCAGAGGTGACCAGCAGCTGTGACCATGCCGATGACACCAGGCAGAGGTGGTCAGGCAACTGAGACCAGGCAGAAGTGACCAGGCAAAGGTGGCCCTGCTGAGGTGGCCATGCTGAAAAGACCAGGCAGGGGTGGCCAGGCAGAGGTGACCATGCAGGTGTGGCCCTGCTGAGGTGGCCATGCTGAAGAGACCAGGCAGAAGGGACCAGGCAAAGGTGGCCCTGCTGAGGTGACCATACCAATGAGACCAGGCAGATGTGACCATGCAGAGATGACCTTGCCAACTAGGCCAGGCAGAGGTGACCATGCAGATGGCAGCTGGAGCCCGAGGACGGTGCCCGGCAGGAGCGTTCGAGGCCTCCCACAGCCCAGCTCTTGGCACCCCGTTACCCAGCTCAGGCACGGGGTTTGCACCCAACGCCACAGTGGGGAGCAGTGGCTGGGCCCAGCCCTGCGCTCACCTCAGAAACCTCCTCCCGCCCATGGAAACCCGCAGCACCTTCTGCAAAAGAAAGTAAAAAAAAAAAAGAATGGGATAACGGTGCCAGGGAAATTATCACACGGTTCCCATGGTGCCAAGTTCCTGCAGCCATAACAGCATTATTTTTCCTCCTCCCAAGCAGAGGGAAAGTTTCAAGGAGAGCTGAGATGCTGATGCCGCCCAACGTACGGGAAGGCAGCCGGCATCCTGGCTGCTCCAGAAACGCCAGCTGACTTGGATTTTGTGTCCTGCTGTTTTAGGCCCGGAGCCAGGATCCGTCCTGAGAAAACGCCGCACTGTACAACAGAATAGATGGCTGCGTAACCCCGGTTAAAGATAGCTCGGCCACGGCCCGGGTTCGATTGACATCCTTTTCTGCAGCGAGCATGCAAAAGCCCGGAGAAGATGAGTTCGGCCTGAAAACATTTCACCTGCAGCAAAAGCACTTTCCAGAAGGAAAGAGGTAAAAAAATAGCACTCGTACCTCCCGCTGTGCTGCAGGGGTCTCCTGGCCGGGTCCTTTGGGCACCGGGAGCTGTGTTTTGGGAGCTGTTCATGCTGTGGAAAGGCAGGGCCCTGGCTGCCTGGCTCTGGCCTGGCTCCCCTCGATGCAGGTACCCGGGGTGTCCCCCTCCATGGGCCCCAGACCCTCGGATGTGGCAGGCGATGCTCAGCGGTGAGGGCAGGGGGGGTAAACCCCATCCAGCTGTGGCGGGAGCAGGCCTGTGCCCTGTGTGCCCCCGCCGAGGGCAGAGAGGTGCCCTGGCAAGGTGCACCCAGCATTTATTTCTTTAAAAGCATAAATTATATCCGGGCGGGAGCTGGCCCCGGGGAAGGATGGGGGGGCACGGGGCAGTGCCACCGGTCACGCCAAGCACCGATGCCAGCGGCTGGG